CCGCAGAGGGTCGCGCGCGCATGCTAAAAATCGTAAAAAGTCCTCAGTTTTTCAACCTCGACCACGCGAATCTCCGCAGAGGGTCGCAATCCCGAGCGACGATCAAACTCCCGCCCCGGCGCCATAGAAACCTAAACTAACTTACATAGCTGCTAACGCCGAAGCTCTACGCAAGCTCTACCTAACCTTGGCTCTGCCACCTGGCTCTATGTAACTTGGCTCTATGTAACTTGGCTCTATGTAACTTGGCTCTATGTAACTTGGCTCTATGTAACTGGCTCTATGTAACTTGGCTCTATGTAACTTGGCTCTATGTAACTTGGCTCTATGTAACTTGGCTCTATGTAACTTGGCTCTATGTAACTTGGCTCTATGTAACTTGGCTCTATGTAACTTGGCTCTATGTAACTTGGCTCTATGTAACTTGGCTCTATGTAACTTGGCTCTATGTAACTTGGCTCTATGTAACTTGGCTCTATGTAACTTGGCTCTATGTAACTTGGCTCTATGTAACTTGGCTCTATGTAACTTGGCTCTATGTATGTAACTTGGCTCTATGTAACTTGGCTCTATGTAACTTGGCTCTATGTAACTTGGCTCTATGTAACTTGGCTCTATGTAACTTCGCTCTGTGCAACTTGGCTCTGTGCAACTTGGCTCTGTGTAACTTGTCCAAGGGCTCCGCACGGAAGAACCCTTCGCGATGCTTTCGGGAAAAATGATGAAACTGGTGACGAAAATGATGGTGAAGAAGATGATGAAATTGTTTCTCTGGGCAGGGCCCGTCAAGGCTCCAGCTGCGTTGCCATCATGGCATTGGTTGCGGCCGAGCGAAATAGATCGTGGAGGTGGCGGCTTCCCGCAAAACCGCCCCGCGCATCCGAAGATTACGCCGGAAGGGCCATGTCAGGATTTCGGATTCGCGTCTCCTCCTCCAGGTCGGCCTCCAGCTGCCTAGGTCACACTGTGACCCACACCAGCAAGAAAGACGCACTTGGCCAAGTCTAGCAAGACGCCCTCGGTCTCGGTCTGGGTGAAGGCTGTGACTGGGCAGGTCGCAACCATCATCATATCATGGCACAGAAGGCTGACGCCTGACGCAGGAGCGGTCGGTCGATGTGGATGTGGTACTCTGGCGTGGTGGGCGCGAAATGGCATATTGGTGGCGCCCTCCTTGTCCTGCGGTGTCTTCTTGCGTTGCGGGACGCTTCCAAACGTGGCACGCAAAGGCGACGCCGGTCGGCCAGCACTTGAACGGCCGATACTTTGGCGAGGCCGTCCACCATTGGGCGCTCAGAAGAAACCCAACGGCTCTTAGCGTGGTGTCTCCGAGCTTCTGCTTGGTGACGACGACCTTGACGGCTGCGCGCTTGTCCTGTGCTTCCCTTCCCGCTTCTCGAGCAGATCGTCGAGCGCTTTCGCATCTACGACCAGGACTGCAGGTGTCTTCGCGACGTCAAGCTTCGGGTTGTTCAGCGAAACATCTGAGTCATCGATTTTGGCGGTGGGCCGGTAGATCAGGCGGATGATCCGCCGGAGAACATCAAGGCGTGGGTCTGCAAGTGCCAAGACAAAGCGGCCGCTCCTCCAGCTGGTGCAGCTGCTGGTCCTTCCCGACGGTGATGGGCTTGACCTTCTTGAGGTGGCCCTGCCGCCGTTGAAGGAGTCCAAGGTGGCTCAACAGTACTCAAGGCTTTCCACTCGCTGAAGGTGAACATCTTTGAGAGGGTCTCTCATCCTCTTAGTTTTGGGGCGGTTGATACAGAGCAGGTCGTCAACATGCGGCGCCATAGTGCTCGCGGGTCAGGATCATCGTGGCGCAGCATAAGCGTTCCACGGCCGCATCAGGATTTTAGTCGAGGTGATGCCAAGCATCTTGCAAACATCTGCTGGCAGTCAAATCCACAGCGTTCGTTGCGGCGCGGTGTCCGCGGCGAAGGTTTACATCCTTTGTTGGTAGGATGATGTCTCTCGTGAGCCTCGTGACCATCGGCGGCCCCTCCGGCGGTTCTGGAGCTGATGGTGCGTTTAGAGAGGGTTGCCGTTCTTAGAGATGCTCCAAGTGTCATGGACCGGCCCGAGAACAAATTACCTGTGTCCGCACGCACATGGCGGCGGTTGATTGTAGGGACCTGGTCAAGGAACTGGATGTTTTCGGAGAGAGGCCGTTGCGGTGGAACCCGGCGATAAAGTTCATCAGCACATTTTGTCCACAGCACACTGGAGGCTCCGCCATCCTGCGCGCCGGCGATGAAGGGTTGAGCCATGACGAGCTACTCGAGGCAGACGGACTTGTTGTCAGCAGGCTTTGCTTGCTTGTTCGGGGAGTTGGTCTGAGTTCTGCGGGCAGTTCTGAGGCAGTTGGCGCCGGTGGAAGAGCATCTCGCGCTGGCGCTTGTTGGGAAGCAGATTTGTGCGGCGACTCCCTCGCCTTTGCTCTTTGCGTTAGCAGACTTACCAGGCGCGCCGCCATGCGCTGGTGAGGTAGGTGATGCAACGGCCAGGCCGTTGGTGTCGGCGCGTAGTGGCCGCAGGCACTCCTATTCACAGCCAGCCGGACCTCCTCCTCGGTCTCATCATAGGGCTGCTCAAACTGGACGCACTCAGGGTAGTGGGAGTTGCGCTCGTTTGCAGGTGTAGTCCTAGCCAACCATCTTCTCGACTTGAGGGAGGAGTACCTGCCTGGCCACAGCCGCTGCTCGGCAGCGTCGAATCCGGGAGCCAGCTGCTGACCGCAGGCAAGATGACCACCTTGCGACGTTCGACTTCTTGAGGGTGTTCTTGGTGCTCGGTGCAGTTGGCAAGGAGATTCTGGCGCGGCTTCCGGCTGAGGTTGTAGAAGAACGTGCGAGGCAGCTCAAAACGATCAGGCCTGATCCAGCTGAGCCACGACCTTCTGGAAGCCATCTTCCAGCTCGGGGCCACGCGCTTCTTCCAGGCGGTGCCGGAGAGGCTTGTGAGCAGGCGCGAATCTGCAAGTTTATTTTGCGGTAGCAGAGCGTGATGCGCGTCCGGTCGACCATCAAAGATCGGGATGAAGTTGTCCCGGGTCACCTCATGCGCAGCACCTGCGCCTGGCTTCGAGGCGGGCTCGGTGCTGTGCTTGAAGTTGGGGTTCACTTCCGCGCGGCTGCGCTCAAAGTCAGCCAGCTTGTTTTCTCCGGACTGCGGCTCAGCAAGGCTCCAGCTGCGTTGCCATCATGGCATTGGCCGCGCACGAATGCAATGGGCCAGGTCCTCACTGGTCTTGTAGTACTCGATCACCACATCACGCACTGCCGTGTAGGTATTCATTGTTCCAGCTTGTAGTTGAAGATGTTGTTAAGAGGCAACAAGCTCGTCAACCTTGCACGTGATCTACACTACATCCTCATCAGCATCTGTCAAGGCCCAGCGGCTCCAGAGGTCAGACAAAACCGCTATACAGACAATGGTTGCGAAACGCAACAACGGAGCAGCACTACCAGATGGAGTAAAGATTGCAATACTACTCAATGAGACGAAAGGAGCACTACTGCCAGGTAGTACCTCATTGATCAGATGTTGGTCTACCACTGTGCCTGTAGCTACATCTGATCCTCGTAGTATTTGGTCGAACTTGTTGTCGATGAGTCCGAAGTAGGCTTCGTGATTGGAGTACTCACCATTGAAGTATGGTGGTGGTAGTTTGTACTTGTGTGGTCTCTGCACATCGCTTCCTGTCTGTGCTGTTGCTGAAGTTGTTGCACCTATTGTTCCTGTAGTTTGTGCTGGTGGTATGCCTGTTGATGCTGCCTGTTGATCTCCTGTTGTCATGTCGTAGTAGTTGGGCATACTGGGGTGCTACTGTAGCTGGAGCTCCTCTTTGGGTAGGATCTCAGCTCCCCTACCATATTAAAGTACAAGTGCAAATGCTGTGCTGTTTTTCTCACAAACAAAAGTATTCTGCCGCAGCCCTTGTTTCTTCTCCAGCTGTAGTGAGGCTCAAGGCCTGCAGTATGCATCAACTACCCGTGTAGCGCACATGCAACTGTGATCATGCGCCCGCTGTAGCTTAACATTTTCTCTCTTTTCTCTCTTCGCTCGCTCTCTCTCTCTCTATCTCTCTATCTCTCTTTTCTCTCTTTTCTCTCTTTTCTCACTTTTCGCTCTTTTCTCCTTTCTCTCTTTCTCCTTCTCCTTCGCCTTCTCCTTCTCCTTCTCTTTCTCTTTCCCCTTCCCCTTCTCTTTCTTTTTCTCTTTCTCTGTCTCTTTCTCTTTCTCTCTCTCTCTCTCTCTCTTTCTCTTTCTCTTTTTCTGTCTCTTTCTCTTTATCTTTCGCTTTCTCTTTCTCTGTCTCTCTGTCCCTCTCTCTCTCTCTCTCGCTCTTTCTCCGCTGCGCCTGCAGCGAAATCTGCGCCTGACCTTGCCAAAGCGCTGCGCCTGCCACGCAATCCAGTCCTTGCAAAACCTTCGGCCACTACAGTGGGCCGGGCGCCGAACCTGCGCCAAAGCCACGCCGCACCCGCGCCCGACAGGCGTCGAGACGGAGGCGGTCATTCTTGATGCAGACCCGCAAAAATCCGCAGAGGTCGCTCTTTCGCGATTTCTATTCCCCCGCACGCGCACGCACGTTTTCTCGCATGCGTTCATTCTTTCATCATATGTATCTGTGCGCAGTGTAGCTACCTGCAAAAGCTGATCTTCTGGAGCAATACCTATCTGCGCAAGCTACCTTTCAGTTCGTTTCCGTACTACGGAAAATCCTTCTAAACTTCCTTAGGTCATGTCACTTGCAGACCCTTCACAAAAGGACTGCGATCCAGAACGCGATAACAACATAGGGGGTGTCATGTCAGAGGGCGTTCCAGATGTCGTTCCCAAGCAACTACTAACACCCACCGTCTTGATTCGGCTCACTTGAACCTCACACGGCTGCTGTGGCAAAACGCTATGTGAACAAAATCTACGCCCTTGCTACACAAACACATCAGGGTCTTGTAGACTTGATTTGGGGCCTCGCTCCAGTTGCACCAAGCAGCGAAGATGTAGCAGTCTGTAGCCGTGTCCACCTGGCAGAGAGATGGAGACAATCCAAGACGGTCAAAGCTATTGCTACAACAATATATAGCCATGCGCGCTGGCAAGTGGAACCGGAATGTGATTCCAACGAACAGTGTCTGGCTTAATCCTCTTGTACAGCGAAAACAGATACTGATTTATGTGGAGTTTATGTCAAAGTGCGTGGTGTGGTTCATTCGATTTCACAATTCACAGTGAACGACTTGACCAATGATCGCGTACAGCTCTTGATACTGATGGCTCCTTTCCCGCCTTGACAATGATGCTGTTTACCGACCCCAGTATGTTTAAGATTTAGCGTTCGGCTTTCAGTAGTAAGGTTCGATGTGTTCTTTGACATACTGCTTGTGTTTGCGCTGTGCAAAAAACACAATCATCCCGAAAGCGGGTGTGACATTGGCGATGCAAGTCATGGAAGTGACTCAAGTCATATCCAGAAATACATCCGCGGATGACGAAGCCATGGCCGACACATTTGACAAGCGCTGCGCTTGGTGTGATGTTGTTCAAGTAAACTGCCTGACGCCAGGTGTCCGGCGCTACCCTGCTCGACAACTGAACTTCTTGAAACTACACACGCGCGTGCCAGACAAACACCTATCAAGCACCCTGCTTGCAAGACGCAACCCGTAATTTTGCACGCAGCAACGTCGCAGCATTAACAGCACCGGGACACGTTCTACAACGGTGCTGGAACTAGTTGAGCCAACTGTCTTCTTGACACGCGTACGAGTGCGCGATAAAGCTGAGATAAGAGGGCTTCGCGAGAACTTGGAAATAGCAAGAAGTGCAAAATATATCCCTACGTATGAGTTCGGCTCTTCGGCGTGCGCGCAAACCACCTCGGCCGCAACGCCTAACGGGCTCGGAGCGGGTTCGGAGCGGGGTGGGGGCGGGCCCATTGGCACGGACGCGCTGGCTGATTCGCAGCCTGAACCTTCTGCGGACTTTGGACAGGTCAGCCTTCGAAGACTCGTGGCTTTTGTCCGTTTTTTCTTGCTTTGGCCACACGACCAAGTCCCGTGAAAAGCGCAGAACCCAAACTATTGTTTTAGTTGATGGAAACTTCCACCTCCCAGCTCTGCCAAACTTTACTGATACTATAAAGCGTGCATGCATGTATATAACAAGCATCTTCTGAACATGTTGAATTTGGGAAAATGTGTGTTTCACGGCATGGCTTCTCCTAACTGGCGGTGGAGGGATGTAATGTTGCACCTGGCTGAATATCAAGTTTCCCCGGCCTAAACACGACCTCCCCACTGCTTCGGCACCATGATTTACGTCAAGTTCAGACCCCAAAAGAAAACCCGGTCGAAAAGATTTGCAGTCAGATCTTAGCCCCTTGCTTTTTTTTGGGGCTCCACATCTAAAAGCTTAGCAAGAGACCAAGCCAACACTTTTTGAGAATTCATCAAAACCCTTCACTTGAACCAAAAACACACCCAGAACAGTCCTGCAAACAAAGGGCCCGATCACCTCTTTGGGGCACTGTTTGGGTACCATGTTTAAGGTCCATCAAGTCTTTGGGGAAACCCGAAAGGAAGCGCTGGGGGAAGCGCACAGGAAGGGTCATCATAGAAAAAATGCTCCCGTTTATAGTCTTATATTGCTTTCTGATGTTCGTGTACTACAGGTTGTTATAATCTTAATCTTATATCATAACATATCTTGCCTTATGATTAGTCTTATAGTTTGACATTCTTATAATCGCTATGATCATAGTTGTCAACGTCATCATCCTCAGCATCATCATGATGTTTGTCTCGTTTGGTACAAACCAGAATCATGGTGGTACTGCTAAGGGTGCTATGATGAGATCATCACTGGCAATGCTAAGGGTGCTACGATGAGAGGTATCATCGTCATGATGGTAATGCGAAAAACGCTGATAGTGATCATCATCATGATGGTCATCATCACTGGTCATGCTAATGGTGCTATGATGAGAGTTATCATCATAATGAATGGGTCATCAGCCCGTCATACATCTCTTCCATTTCTGTTTTTCAATCAGCGCCGTTGGAGATGCAAAGGACGCCACGATGATAGTTGTCACCATCACGATGTTCATCATGATCACACTATTATCATGATCATCATCTCTTTCTTTTCTTATATTTCTTGTAAATATGTTTCAGAACTTACGTTAGACGTTGATGGTAATGCTGAGCGTGCTATGATGATAATTAGTTGTCATCATCATGAAGGTCATCATCACTGGCAATTCTGAGGGTGCGATGATGATAGTTATCATCATCATGATGGTGATAGTTATCATCATCATGATGGTCATGCAAAGGATGCTATGATGATATTCATCATCATCAGGGGTGCTATGATGAGAGGTATCATCATGCAAAGGATGCTATGATAAAAATTATCATCATCGTGAGTCTTATCATTGCTGGTGATGCCAAGGACTCTGTGATGATAGGTATCCTCATGATGATGTAAAGGATGATATGATGATAGTTGTCGCCAACGTTTCAGAACTCACGTTAGACATTGATGGTCATGCTAAGAATGCTACGGTGATTGTTATCATCATCACGAGTGTCCGCATCACTGGTAATGCTAAGGGTGCTATGATTGTAGTTATCATCAGCATGCTGATAGTTATCAGCATCATGATGATAGTTGTCATCGAAAATGCGAACGGTGCTACGATGCAAAGGATGCAATGATGATAGTTCTCACCATCGTCATGATCATCAACTCCTTCTTTGCTTGCATACATATACAGTTCGGTAGACACTGCTGGTGACGCACGTGATGCCAGGATAAGAGTTGTCATCATGGTAATGCAAAGGATGCTATGATGGTCATCATCATCCCATCACTATCATCATGATCATCATCTCTTCTTTATACTACTTCTACAAACGTTGCAGAACTGATGATAGTTATCTTCATCGTGCTAGCCATCATCACTAGAAATGCTTAGGATGCCACGATGCAAAGGATACTACGATGACAGTTATCACCATCAGGGCGGTCATCATTCTTTCTTTTCCTGTAACAGTCTCTGCATCACCTGCAACATCCTCCCCAGAAGCCGAGAAGCCAAAAAGCCAAGAAGCCAAGAAGCCAAGAAGCCAAAAGCGAAAAAATCCCACCCAAAAAAAACGAAACAAATCCAAAAATAAATACCCCTCCATTAAAAAAATACAAATCAATAATTAAATTGCAGGGTTCTCCCCGGCCAGTTCCCGGATATTGAACAAATTGAAAAATAGAAATAACAATAAAATTAAATTGGAGGCCTCCAGAAATTTAAGAAAAATAACAAACAAATATTTAAATTATTTAAATATGAGTTTCTTATTTTCTTAAATTTCTGGAGGCCTCCAAAACAAACAGGGCTTTCCCTGGCCAGTTCCCGGATATTCAACAAGTTTGAAAAATAATAATAATACGAATAAAAACAAAAACCATGTAATTTGTTTTTAAATTGTTTAAATTTCTGGAGGTCTCCAAGGCTCAAAAAAAAATTCTCCCTGGGTTAGTTCCAGGATATTTTTTCAAGAATAAGAAAGACAATACATGCTTTAAACAAACAAAAGAAATTAAATACATATTTATTATTTTCTAATCTCTGGAGGCCTCCTAAAAAAACAAAAACAATTCTAATAATTTCCCGGGCTCTTCCTGGGCCAGTTCCAGGATAGTTGAAAATGTTGAAATTATTGAAATGGTTTAAAATATTCAACAAATATAAATATATATTTTTTATTGGTTACTGTTTAAAAAAATGGAGGCCCCCAGAATCCTAAAAACATGTGTTTGTTCGACTATTTAATCGTTATGTTTCTCAAATAATCTGTGGAACTGGCCCAGAGAACCCGGGAAATTATTTATTTGTTATTTTTTGGGAGACCTCCAGAGATTTAAAAAATTAGTTGATTTCTTAAAATTATCTAAACTTTAAAAAAAAAATATCCTGGAACTGGCCCAGGGATAACCCGGGAAATTACTTAAATGTTCTATTTGGTACTGTTTGGACCTTGGAGGCCTCCAGAATGTTGAAAAAATATAAGTACTGAAAGTATCTGTTTTTTCTTTTTTACTTTTGATTTTTAATATCCTGGAATTGGCCCAGGGAGAACCCGGAAAATGATTTAACTTTAAAAAATGGAGGCCTCCAGAAATTTAGAAGATGTACACAAATTAAGTATTAAAATTAATTGATTTTTAAAAATTGCTATTATTGCTTTTAGTACCCTAGAACTGGCCCAGGGAGAACCCGGGTTTCTTATGTTATTTTTATGGTTCAGGCCTCCAGATGTTTAAAAAAAAAAAACAACATTCAATGTTTATATGTTGTTTGTTTTTGTAAATATCCGGCAACTGGCCAGGGAGAACCCTGGAATTTTTGGAGGCCTCCAGAAATTCGAAATATACATATATATATATATATATGTGTATATATATATGTTTAGATTATTTTATATTTCTAAATATATAATATATATGTACACGTTTACTTTCATTTTTTGAAATATCCTGGAACTGGCTCAGGAAGAGAACCCTGGAAAATAATTAAATTTTATACATTATTTAAAGTATTTACATTTAAATTGTTACTATTTGTTTTCGGAATCTATGAATTAATATAGTGATTCTATTTCAGGGGCCTTGGGCGACACATAGGCCCAATTCTTCCCTCTTACCTCTCCTTCCCTCCCTCCCTCCCTCCCTCTCCCTCTCCCTCCCCTCCCTTCTGCCATCCATCGCGTCCATCCATCCAACCCGCGCGGCGGACACGTGAGGCCGGCGCAAGGTCCTTATTCAGGATCCCCGAGCGCTGCTTTGACTCTTTCACGCTCCGGCCTGAAGCTGATCCAGCTCCTCATCCTCCTGCCCAGCAAGTCCATTGAATTTCAGGTTGACTCCAGTGTATTGTTCAACCCCACGGATGAGGGACTCCTTTGGCAACAAATGTGTTTGTTTCCCTCAACGGGGTTTCCGTTGCAGAGTTCCATACAACGCTGATGGTCCAACCAACTAGCATTTCAGCTGCAATGTCCTTTAAAGCAGCAACAAAGATCAAACCACTCCAATTCAAGGCTTACACATGAAGAACTCACAATCAGCCGCAAAAAAAAGAGAGAAAAAAAGAGAAGTCCCGCGAATTCCATTCAATGCGTAATTCCCCGCGCCGCCGCCGCCGCCGCCTGCTCGCTGGCCTCCGCCGCCGCGATCTCCTGGCACTCGAAACGTTTCGCTCGAGAGTTTGGGACATGGCGGGGCGGGGGGCCCAAACTGGGGCACCTCATCCAGTGGGAACCGGTACCTGGATCCATTCCAGTCCAGAGAGTATCCAAAATGCCAATATTGGATGGAGTTAATATGGAAGGTGCTGGTTTCCACTGTGTGGGATTTATGCCAGTGAAAGCGGTCCGCAAGGTCGTCTTTTACTGGACGGCGTGAATCGCAGTAATCGACTAAGGAAAAAGGGCCTTGAACCAAAATGTAACAGTGTGTGAATAGGTCAATTGCGAAGCCAAAGCCAACACAAAACAGAAACAAATTTCTTTGGACCTTTCACACCGATTTACTGGCTTCATGGCCTTTGACCGCAACCATTTGATGGTGTGTACGCCGTAGCCTTTCGATTGGCGACTGATATTGTATATCATATCAAAATAAAATACTCGCTCTTCATCTTTTTTTTGGCTTGGATGACTTGTTTCGTCTGTGGCAACTGGAAAGCTTTGTACAGATGGCGGACGAGACCTAGCTGTATCAACTGTGCGAAACTATTGATCTCTGGATAGTCTTGCTGATGGTGAGGATTAATCTGCCGCAAATCGTTGCGCCGTTTTCGGTGATAACTCTGTTGAGGTTCTGAAATGACAAAACTGGCATGTTCTGAAGACTATAGTAAGGCCGAGGCAGATGTTGCATCTCAGTACTCCTTGTAGCGCCGTTTGGTAATGGCTGCTCTCAGATGCGCTGCCGTAGTTGCCATAGTCGTTCCAGGATTGCTGATCGTAGCTCTTCCACCCGTCATAGCCATATGCCTTGTTGTGATGCTTGGGTTGATTCCCAAGATTTTTATGTTTTCTCGTTTCTTGCCGTGGTATATTCTTTGGATCGCTGAACACTTCGTCCTTTGCCTTGCGCACGGCTCCGGATTCATACCATCAGTGGAATGTGTGAATCAGAATCACATGAGCCACTCATAAACATCTCGTTGGTGCGCTTGAACATCTCTGCTGAGAAAACCTGGGATCGGCAATGGTGGACATGTTGTCATTCTCCAAGTTTCCAGTTGATCTTCGTTCAACGAGTCCATCTTGTCCTTCCTCATTTTTTCTGGATATCCTTTTTGCCCCATCCAAATCTCAAGATCTCATCCTGACCCTGTCTTCGTGTGTACGACGCGTCGAGCGATGGCCTTGACGGTGCGTGATGTATCCATGGTGCAGTCAAGCCGGTTGGTGATTGGCAACCCAGTCGTGTCGTTCCAGAGCAGACGATGTAGTAGAGTGGACTGTGGTCAGGACAATAGACCTGCTGATGCTTGCTGTGTGTGCTCACGGCTGCGTTGCCATCTCCAGCGATCGCATCGGAGATGTCTTCTGTCACGAGAAGCATGATTGCGGAACGCAAGCCTTCCCACACTGCTCCATAGCTGATGCTTGGACGCGCGTGGAAAACTCCACGGGTCGCATATGGAAGTCCTGCTCGCTTGACACGGCGATGATGGTCAAAATGCGGATTTGGAAATTCATTTGCCTTGAAAAATACACCTCTGAACTCATCTGGCTCTCGGTTCGGACGGTGATGATTTCCTTGTTGCGCCCAAAGCATCGGATGACGGCGCGCGGTGGCAAACTCTTTCTAAGGTACTTCTTGTACTCCTGCGCGAACATGGATGGTGCTGTGGTTGCCAGGCAGTCGGATGTGGGTGCATCGTGTTCGGGATCCGTGCTGTTGGGCTCCGTGCCGAATTAGCATCTGAAAACGCCGAATGTTGCCCCAGTTCTTGGCCCTGGGCATCTTTATGAGTTCCTGCGCTTCTCCTCGGCGCGCTCGAAGAATGCCTCGGCCTCGTTGAGACAAATTATATGTGCACTGGTGCACAGCAGCATCCTCGTGAGGGGCCCATCCTTCATGGGCATGTTACGCATTTCTCGGCGGTTCAACTTCTGATTCTCAGTACAATTGCCATGATTTATTGTGAGCATCGTGGGTGTCATGGATGATGTGAACTCATGCTTCTTGTCGTGCTCGAAGACAGGGCGATCGGTTGCTGCATCAGGGCTCTGAGAATGTCAGTGTGTGCCTTGATGACTTTGGATCTGTGAGTTCTCAGTGTCTTCAATCCAATGGGCAGTCGAACCAAATATCCTGACTTCGCTTGGTTTGCCCTAAACTCTTCAATTGTTGGCAATGCGCCCTTTTCATGGTACTAGAACTCTTCCTCATCGAGGTTGGCGTCCGGATCAATGCGAGCCAGAGAATCATGCATGCAAACCCTCTCGCAACGACTGTGGGTTGTTATAATACCTGTCCATGGGTTCCTTGAAATTCTCCTTGGTGAATGCAAGCTCTTTCTTCCCTTGCTCCTTGTCCATGTTGCGGTCGAGGTACTGTTCTTGGAAATCGATCTTGAGTTCTACCGGAGAACCAGAATACGACCTTCCGACATCGTCCGCCGACAAGAGTCCTAATCCCTCTTGATCCATTCTAGATTACAGGGGAACGGTCCGTTGGCTGACCAGAAGATCCTTCCGCAAAGCATCGTTGCATTTGCTGGAGGGCACCTCGTTCAGAACAACTTCTGGGAGACGGCGTTGAGCGGATCCTGAAGAAAACGACAAAGAATACATGGAATCCGACAGGGAGGTCACTGTTACTCACGTTGCTCTTGCCACAGGGGCCGTCCTGTGAATTCGACGTCGACGTATCGTGCGTGTGTGTGTGTGTGTCCGCCGCAGCATCTGATACGCAACTCCGTCTCCTTGTCGTTGTAGCACTTGGATCCATCTGGCTGGAGTGCCTCGAATGCGGCCTTGCTTTTGAGATAATCGATCGATCGATGCTTGGGAACGATGTTATTGTTGCTCACTGGCTCCTCGTAGGATCCATCGAATGCCGGACACGTCTGTCATATTCTTACTATATTCCTACACAGCCGGTCAACATTAGTATTGTCTGTGTGAGCTCCACACCGAGAGGACGGTTTGCAGGTCGCTTTCAGTTGTCCAAGTAGGACAAAGGCTCCGGTGCTTCGTCATCTGGCTTTTTCTTCCTCCGGTGGACTGCTCTGCAATGGAGGCGTTGTTTGTCTTCTGGATTGGTCACAGTTGCCGGAAAGAACAGTTGGAAGAATCGGTTGAGATGGCTGCGGCTGAGACGGCACACCGGCCCCCCAATCAATTGAATCCTTGAAGCAAAATTGATTGTTTTTGCCGTTTGCCCACGGAATGCCCAGCGGCTTGTCGTGAGGCAGCAGCGATAGTGGATCTATTGGGCTGTCTGGCGATATATGTGGAGGTCTTGGATCAGGCATGGGCAGGTGCTGTTCACCATGTTGCTGAGGTTGAGAATGGGCTGTGAAGGGCGCATTTGGATGTAGGCGTGACCCAAACTCTAAATTGCAAGAAAGCTACGCGGCGTCATCTGAGTGGCCTATCTATGCCAATGGCGGTTGTATGTGGCGCACGCATCGTATTGGGTGGGTGAGACGCACATGCAGTTCGCAATTTCTTGCAACCATTCCACATGTTCTGACATCGCCAGTCAGTCGGATCTTGTCGAAATAGATCGATTTCAGTACCAGGCGGACACTGCTTCATCTAGCGGATCTTGGACGACTAGTGGTTGAATGGTCTTGCTGCGTGGGAGCTCCTGCATCTTGACAGCGTTGCTGCTGCTAGTCATGTTGAACCATCTGTCGATGGCATCCATCTCCTTTCGGAGCAGTCAACCTGCTGGTTGGTGAATGGCTCGAAGATGTCCTCGACAAGGTACACTTCGTTGCGTGTTGCAGGATGATGCGCGCGAGGTCCTGGCAGAACTGGTAGGGGTAGACCTGTGCCATGGGCCAACTTTGTTCTGCTTCCGAGTGCGCCTGCATTGCCCTCGAGCGGTTGATGTTCATGCTTGACCGAGCCGGTAAAGTTCTTGCATTTTCTGAAGATTGTCCTCGTTTCCTTGGGAGGTAGGCAATGCATCAAGCTCGTGCTGCATGTGATACTGAGGAGTAGCGGCACAGTGCCCTGTTCAAGGTGTCAATGTGGTACTGGCTGGGATACTTGATATGCGAGGTGCAGTTGACCTTGGCAGTTTCTCCGTTAGCAAAAGTGAGCTTGGTCTTGGCCGGGATGCACTCGTAGGAGATGAGGTCCTCCACGGGTTTGACGGCCCAAATAAAGCGCTGCGCGCTGCGCATGGATCTGGCACACCCGTTGTCCAGAATTGCATGCTGAGGGTTGATGACAGGTGCCATCAGCTTTGTTGCCAAGAGGCTGTGATTTGTTGTAACGCAGAAATTTTGTGCTGAAAATCTGGATTTCGTTCTCATTCTGCTGAAATGTATCACGGAATGTCATCGCATGTCCTTCGCTGGATATCTCATGAAATGAGCGCCAGCCTGTTTCACTCCAGTTCCAGGATTGATCCCAATCTTGGTGCGGCATATGAATCTGCTGTGTGGCAGGACGCTCCTCCGGTTTCTCTACTATGGCTGCGAACGTTTTAGACTTGCCTTTGTCATGTCCGCCTTTTCCTTCGCCACTGTCATAGGATGGGTAATAATTGTTCCCATCGTACGGATCGCTCCTTCTTTCCCTTCTTGCCTTTGCCGTTTCCCCAATATGCCAAGTCGTAGGGATCATGATTTTCGTTTGCCATGTTGGCCTTCTCGCCAGATCCGCTTTTCCGAAAGGGTTTGACTCCCAATTTTGCTTCTGGATTTTCCTTTTCCTTGTCTTCTTCCGAATCTCAAATCCCGCCCAGGCACATCCCTTGCGATGAACGCATCATTTTCCCCGAGGACCCAATAATGTCTCTCCATCATTGCTCGCCGTGAATGTTTCCTGTCCTTCTTCATCCTCAACCCAAAAGCCTTCTTCTCCTTCTTACTCTCCTTCTCCCAGGACGTAGAAGTTGTTGCTTCTGTTTTTTCGGGAGGTCGGATGGATGGATCTTGAATGGATGTTCTGGTCGTGATGAGGAGATCGTGTCTTTAGCA